AAAAAGCTTTTTTATGTCAATTTGGCAGGCTATTTATAGCCAATTTCACTGCATGGACCTACCGAGGAGAGGAAAATGGATGAGGATATTTAACAACTCTTTGTATCTCTTCTTCCTGGCTGTGTGGTGCACCTCAGAGTCTCTCCTCTCAGCATCAGAGACGGATTGATAAATAACGCTACTCAAGCAAAAGATTTGCCCCCCACTAACATTCAGCATGTCTGAACAATGCATGCATTCTGGCACTGACACTAAGTATTATGATAATGTAGTGCTCAGCGAAATGATGGATGTTAAACAGCACGACCTGGCTGCACTACACACTGGCGATCACCATGCCCGCAAATAGTGTCAAGTCATCCCACGCACTGTATACAGCTCCCTGACGACACACAAACTATCAAATCGGCATTAAAGGCAACAGTCTCTAGCAGCTATAAGGCTGGATATAATTATCTGTTAAGAGATGAAAAAAAATGTTCTCTGAACAGACTAACCATTCGGTTACACTCCTCTACCCAACTGTACAGGAAATCACAAAACAGAAAATTACCAGGATATTTAAGTCCCTGGAGATACCCTAAATGCTCAAAGTAAGAAAGCACATAGCATCTGTTCAAATTGTTGCAGTGCAATCCACATGAATTAGTCATGAGCTAATCTGACATATTTTGATCAGTTCTTAAATCCATAATTATGGTGCAATTTTTTTGTCATAGGCCTCGAGCTGTGAAAAAAGGCAGTGCTGCAAATCATCCATTAGGCATGTTTTACTGATTGACGCCAACAGTTATATGCATCATATATCTGTAACAAGTCAAATCTTTCTCACCCACGAATTAGACATCAAGAGGAATTTCAAACTAAAAGTCAAATTAAATGTATTGCATATTGCAAAAATAATAATAATGTTTTCAGGTATCATGGAGGCAGAGTTTTTATAACATCCTCTGGTTCTCTGATACCGTGCTGTGTAAAATGTTTATGTTGTGGGGAAAAAAGAAAGTTGATTGAATTTCTGATGATGTTACAATATTGAGAGCCTTCCGGGCCTCTGACATAAAAGACTGCCACTATACATTGGCATGTTGTGCATTGTTGTGAACGAAGCCTGTAAGCTGCTTTATAAACCCCTGTGTAATATGCACGCAGCTGCCTTATTACGCACAAGTAGGTGTTGCTTCAGCTTTACAATACTTTTTGCACTTTAAGTTTTTTGTTGTTAAACTGTATTTAATTCAATAAAAAAGGTGTTTCTTTGATTTAATTTAGCTTAGCTGCACAGATTGAAACAGGGTGGTCAAAATAATATCAACATGTCTCCACATTAAATAAATAAAGGAATTGTTGAATTATTAAATTAAATTCAATGCCCCAACTGCAGTCTTCAAAATGAACACAAAACAAAAATTGAATATTGAAACTATGCAGATAAAACTGTTGCATGAGTATTGTATTATGTCACATTAGCCTAAACTCGATGTTCTCTAAAGTGGTAACTGAGTGCACATACTGTGCACTAAAGATTACAGCAAAATATTATATTGTATAGAGCCAAGTAAACAACTCAAGCTACAGCGTTGACAATGGTTACACAGCAACAACACTTATCTATATTGATTAATACCATCTATATCAGCAGACAATCAACAGGCATAAATAAAACTATCTATTGTGGACTGTAGTAGATAAAGATTACCTCAGGGATTTCTACTGGACAGCAGTGAGTCTGGGATTCATGTGAGTCTAACATCTACCAATTATTTCTCAAATGACATCCCAGATGAGTCCATACTTATAAAACTTACATACTAGACGTATTTTGGCCAGTCAGTGTTTTGGACAAATACGTTATATTACAGAATTTGCACTGCTAGACCACCAAACTGCATTGCACTGTTTAGAGACCTTCATTAAACCTGCATTTATTTATTTAGTTACTTATTTATCCGACACTGTCAGCAGTGAAAAACAAACCTGCAGGATAAGACATATTATTTGACTTTAAGTTGATTTGAGACTCTTGGTATCACTTGATAACAGTTTTGTTGGTTTGTTTGTTTTGTTTTGTTCATAGATCTATCCAGCAGACTAAGAGCGTTAGCTTTCATTTGATCTTATTTTTCTCTGAGCCTGATAAATGGGAACTTATTTGCGTTGCATTTTCAAAATGATTCTACTTAAAAAAAAAAAAACAACTTAAAAAAACAAACAAACTGCCCACTTCAGTCAAAATCAACATGAGGACAACAGCAACAGTGAAGCAAAACAGTAAATTTGAAACCGCCCCAAAAATAAAAGAGTCAATCCTAAAATCTTTTACAGGGATCCACAGAGCTGTAGAATAAGGTGATTATTTTTTGTGCATGTATTACTCCTTGCATGACTCCTAACTTGTTTTAAATGTTTTAAATACAGAAAAGACCAACTAGACATACTGTACAACATTACATATAAAATATATAATAACAATGTGATGGTGTTTGGATCAATCGCATGTCACCTTTTATTTTGGCAGGTAAAAAATGGAATAATTGCAGTAAAACTGTTTTTCTTTCTTTCTATAATTTTAATTTCAAATTCTTTTTTTGTTGTTGTTGTTGTTTTGTTTGTTTGTTTTTTACCTATTTTTTTATTTGATACATAACAATTAATTTATAATTCAATTCATTTAAAACATGGAACTTAATTAATGACAGACTTAAGTTAAACATGTCTTGTTCACTGTGTTGTTTATAGGACACTTTGTCTTGGAAAACCTGCAGCCCTTCTTTCAAAGTTAAGTAATTCATTTTACCTTCGGTTCCCCTACAAAAGCTTCCAGTGTCAGAATGATCAGTCTGTTTGTAGTTTACTCTTTTCTCCTTGAGTGACACAGCTGATTTTACACTATATCTACTTTGTTTTGTTAATGTCACTAATCCCATTTTCTCACTCTTGTACTTTCTTGCTTCAGTCTAGAGATGTCACACATTGGCACAGCAGGGCACATGAGCATGGTTTAGATGAGTGGCCAATAAGAAAAACTCATCCATATAATGCATTGGTAAAATCTTATTAAAAGTGCACGCCTGTGCTCCCAAAGTGACTTTGAATGTCACGCGGGATGAAGTGGGCATAATGCGAACATCAGAGTGGCCTTGGTGGAGGATGATTTGAACAGGCATACAGCTTTGGAACAGGATTATCCTTCCCGAGGCAACTATCCTCCAGAGTGTTGACATTCAGGGATGGTTGAGGACAGGCGTAAACAACACGGATATCAGAAATATTGTTTTAATCGATCATCAGGCTCCAAAGAGGAAAACCAGAAAGACAAGAAGCAGGTTGAACACCAGCAGCTGATGGCTGGAGAAACAGGTGGTGCATGGAGATCCTCAGGGCTGCACACACAAGAAAGTAATGGTGAGCCTTCGCTCATTTCTCCCACTAGAGCGCCTGACCAGTCTAATCAATAAGATCATGAACTACTGCCACTGAATTACATATCATACATAATTTTCCCGCCTGGTGAATTATTTTTTGAGAGTGAATTGCATGTGAATTCAGCACCAGTGGTGAATATGTGAATGTGTGTTATTTGCCTGTGTGCTGTCTCAATGCAAGTGTCTGTCTGTGTGCACACGTGCATGTGTGTGCGTGTGTGCACACACATGCATGTGTGTGCGCGTGTGTGTATGAGAAAGAGAGCAAAAGAGATAATTAAAGCATAATCCAAAACTATATGTATGTATATAAATTGTTTCTCAATACAGTGCTCTTTAACTTAAAGATAAAATGATTTCTGGTTATCTTTATATAAGTAATAATAATCCTACCAAATAAACTTAATAAGTACGTAATATGAATGATAATAACAATAATAGTAATAGTAGTAGCAGTAGTGCAAGTAGTCTCACAATAAAGATAAAAAGTTATACATTTTTATTGTAGCTTCTTAAATAGATTACTAACTGAGAAAATAATGTATAATAAAAGACTTTAAATATATGATAATGATCAAAATTTAAATTTTAATAAAATGTTTTGAAATTGTTGCAATCACATTAAGTTAATGACAAATTTTTATAGCAACAGTACAGGAAGGAATAAGTTGAACAAGACTTAAACTTTGAATTGTGGACTTAAAAAAGAAGAAAAAATAATTTAAGCTTGTCTAGAAATACAAAGCCGAATTGCACACTGGCATTCATTACTATCACTGTAATTAGAACCGATCGATCCGTGATTATCCGTTACGTGTCTGACTAATTACTAAGTGTACACAGATCCCGCTCGTTTTCAACAATAAGGGTTCGGGGGTGAAAAGAGCAAGCGAGAATGCAATGTGTGCTGGAGCCGAGCCTCTACTATCATCCTGCTTTGTACTTCCTGACTGCAACCCGCCCACGGAGCCCCGTTACAATACAGCTGCCATGTAAGTAGTATTTTCCACAGCTAATGACGTCCGAAAAGTAGAAAACATATCAGCCCGCTGAAAGGTCAAAGCAGCTTGTCAGCACCACGTTAATCGCCGATTTTGATTGTCTGATAATGGCTTACATTTTCAGCTCCCCGGAAAGTATTTACTTCTCGCTGATAATATACAGCAAATGTGATGGATTTTTTAAAATGGAATTTATGCGCCTGCACAGCTGCCTGTCCCGTGTCCCGCCCCCTTAACTGGCCTTAACGGGGATGCTGAGCACATGATAGTAAATGTAAACACACAAAGGCATTTTCAGCTGTAGTATTCACGTGGATTGTCTGGTGGCGGTAACAATTAACCCTGCACTTCCAAGCCGTTCACTTCCACGTGTTCCCCCTCTCACGCCTCAGACATATTTGTGTGTGTGCCTCTGCGTGTGCGTGTGGGCTCCCACACTGTCCCAAACATCTGCAAATTAGCACACTTTTCATGCCCTCTGCCCCAGAACTGAGCCGGGACGTTCTTTGTCACTACTTTGCGTAAACCTTTTCTCAATCCCTAAAGCACCATAAAAGTAGTCAAAACAACCAACCTTTATGCATTCCCGTAAACCTGTCTTTCAGAACAGTGAGTTCGTATATCTTTCCGAATTCCTCAAACAGGGGTTTAAGGTCTTTTTCCTCCAGGTTTCTGGGAATCTGCCCGATGAAAAGCTTGATGGCGTCGTGGTCCTTCATTGGAATGGTGTTCTGGCCGATGGTAAGCCCGTTCATCCTGCCGGCGCTGTTCGTGGTGCTGAATCCATTCTCTTGCTGCACTCCGTTTGCAGTGACTGTAGCCATCTTTCCTCAATGGGCCGGCGGGCTGCTCTCTCTCTCTCTCTCTCTCGCTCGCTCTCTCTCTCTCGCCTCTGTGTAGTCAACTGCACATTGCACACTCCCCCCCTCCGTTATATCTTCCTGTCTCCCCACTCCTCCTCCGGTTCTCCCTCCCTACCCTCTCCTGTCCTTCCTTTACAGGCTAAGCCGCTTTGTTTGGAATCAGTATTATTTATTTATTTATTTTTCTTATTCTTTATGAGTTTTTATTTTTTCCGCCCCCCCCCTCCCCACACACACACTCACACTCCATCACCACCGCCACCCCCAAGCTGCCACTCTGTCCCGTGACGTCAGCTCGTACTCTTATGAATACACCACGCCCACCATCTGATTTGCATAATGAGTTCGACCAAGGCGAATGGGAGAGCAGGTTGACTAAGGACCCCACAGGGCAGAGTAAGAACTCAAACATTTGGGTAGAGTGTAAAGGTTGGGACATTTAAATGATGCAAATTCAACATTAGTGCTTCTTCCCCAGCTTATCTGCGGTGGTTTAAGTTTGTCTCGGAGAGCAAAATTTGATGCTCCTTTTGGCGGAAAAATATTGACCTGATAACTAGTTTTAGTTCGTCTCTAATTCGTAATTTATTAATAATAGAAATCAATCAAAATCTAAATTCCTTTTAATGACTTAAATGTTAAGAGAACCAACCCTGCATTTTTGTATTTTGTATAAAAGAAGATTCACGATCGGTACGCAGTGTTACTAAAAATGCTGTCCTCATAACCCTTCTTTGGTGTGGTGAACGTATTTGCCCATGTTATATATCCCCTGAGGTAAATAATGTGATTTATCTGGTATACTGGGGTAAAAAAAAAAAAGTCTATGAGATGTATAGAAAGAAAAGCAGGAGAGTTGTATGTCTTAGCACCAGTATTGAAAAACACTCTTATGAACCCTTGTAGAAATGATCTTTACACCAGCAGTTCTCAGGAGACAGGTCCCTGTTGATTTTCATTGTAACCATCTAACAAGGACTATTGTACGCCTGGGACACCCGGTGAATTCTACTGGTGGAGCAGAAAAACAACACGGGTGGGATACATAAAAGCTCATATCTATGCTTTGGTCTACTAGTCTACTGTTCAATATGTATTGGCAGAGTTCTTTAAATAGAAGTACCAATGACTGCACGTTTTAATACGCAATACAGTCATAAGTCTACAATCATGCAGAAATCTGAAAAACTTAGTGCAAGGTCATCTAACTTAGAATGACCCTGGAGGCTTTGAGATTTTATCCAGATGAAGAATTACATTTAGTATAGTGTTTGTGGACACTTCAGTATTTTTTTTCTAAGACAAATTCTTTCAAGATGTCATCCTCTTAATAAAAAAAAAAGGACCTATAAAATATTGAAAATTTAGATTACTAAATTGGCATCGCAAGTTATGCTCCAAGTCTTCATATGCGTTTTGACATTTTGGCTTGTTTGTTTGTTTGTTTTTTAAAACTGTTTTCTTCAAAATAGCAGTAGATACTCTGCAAGCTCACTAGATAATTTCAGATTCTTGGCATATTTATCTTTGATTTGAAACTATAGCTGATTTAATAAAAAGGTGATTTTGAAAGAAACTAGTAGCTTTCCAGGTGTTAGAATCATCTGCAATGTCTGAGGGAATAACTAAAAAGTTTGCCACAAGCTTCGTGGTACAAGAGTTTTAATAAAATAAAACATATTTTTCTTTCTCACTGAGATAAAGGCAAGGAGGTAGCGAGAAAAAAGGTGAAGAGAATAAAATAGTGTTTGAAATAATGTTAGCTGAAACCTCTGGATTTAAAGCCGCTGTCTGTCACTGTCCATGGTGCTGAGCCAGTGCTGCCATTCATAGACCGTGAAATAGATTGGAGCTACAGTTTTAACAGTACATTTGCACTACAAATTCTCCATACATTCCATCTAAGTCCTATGAACCTTTACGAACCTTTCAGGCCTTTTCACGATGCAGAGAATGATGCATTCAGCACCACTATCCATACAAGAGCCTTCCTCTTCATGCAAATAAGCATGTGCATGAGCAGTGTTTCATAACTTGCCATGTATTTTGTACAGTGAAACCTATAATTGATGCACATGTGAATATGAAATTCATGCAAGGCCAGTCAAGACCATATTGATATAGATAATTATGCTTAATTATGCAAACTGGCATTTATGTAGATCCTGCCATGCATCAATCGTTGACTGTATCTGATAAGTTCAAGAGGTGAAGTTTTATACCTGACCCTGGCCTCTGTTCCTCTTGTTGAATTCTGGGAAGAAAAAAAAAACAGTCATTTGGGACCAATATAAAATCCCTGAAAACTGCATGTTTACTGAAGTGTATTCACCAGGCATGCTTAACCTCTGTAAGGTCAGAATTAATTGGGTACTAAAAATATGTCTTTAAATAATAAAGATTTCTTTGTACTGCTGCTTCTGCTAATTAGTACAATAATGGATCTTCACAAAATTTAACATTTTCATTGCTGTACCTATCTATCTATCTATCTATCTATCTATCTATCTATCTATCTATCTATCTGTCTATCTATCTATCTGTCTATCTGTCTATCTGTCTGTCTGTCTGTCTGTCTGTCTGTCTGTCTGTCTGTCTGTCTGTCTGTCTGTCTGTCTGTCTATCGCTATCTGTAGAGAAGCAAGCAAACGAACTGACCAGTTACTTTCTCTCTGATACTGACGCAAATTTGACATTTAAATGCCTTTTCAGTGAGTTGCTTAGTGTTTGTGGTACTAGAGGAACAGTGTTATCTATCAAAAATAGAAAACAAGGTGGTCACCCCTGTAAATAAGTCATATTACAGCATGATAAGAGCATATATTTGCAGGAGGTCATCCCAGTGGGAAGTGCCACAACGTAGCCAGTGAACTTTTTTGGTCACTAGGTGGTAGAGAAATCAGCTTTGATGGATTATGTGCTGTTTGCTTTGTGTGTGTGTGTGTTTGTTCAGCCCTGATGTCTGTCAGAGTGAGTGGTCTTTAGGGATAGTGGTATTCCGAGAGCAACACTAACATCTGGTACTGCATTGTCTTTGTTATGGATACCTATTTATTTTCTATTTAATTGCATCTTTTTAGACAATCTAAAAAATCATGCCGTTTTTTCTCTCTTTTTTTTCTGCTGTGAATGGGGATCAAAACACAATGGGTCTCCCTTGTCAGTACCATCAGGACCATTGTTTCCCAGAAAGACAGAGCTAATTTAGCTTCAGTGCTTCTTATTGGCTTTGTGATTTTTGTTTCCTTGTTTTTGTCATTTCTCTGCGGGATAGTTTGCCTGCACAGCTGTGGAGACTTGGAAACTGCCTGGCAGGAGGAAATGCAGGTACTGTATGATCTCTTCAATTATGCCTGTGTGTAAGCATCCTCTTTGTTTGACGACAGGCAAGCATATTAGAAAGGTTGACAGGGTTCTTCTTCTTGTCTGTGCCAAGCTCAGCACCTGGATGGTTGCACAGGGCACCTCTCTCGATTGCTCTTCTTTCAGACAAAAGAGCAGTCAGAATAGTTCCAGCTGTGTTTGTGAAGTGGGGATGAACGACGCAGACACAAAGTAATCCCTCAAGGATCTTGCACTCCAAGAAACACTTTTCACTCAAATTATTTTCTTATTATTCCTGGATGGAAACTGCATTTTCCATTAAAAATGAGCGAGGATTTTTTTCCCCCTCACCAGGCTAGCAAGAATTGGAATCAAGGGGGGTGTGAACATTGCAAACGTGTCAGCAAAATCATTTCCAGACTAATGCAAAAAAATATTTACCCAGAGTATTTCACACAGTACAACTGCTATTTTCCAGACCAGAGTGAATGCCATTTCTTTTTATTACCCAAATTATTCACACCACTGTCAAGGTGACTTGTTGGAATGTCACTGGCACACCACTTGAAACAGCTACCAAAAATATAGTCCCTTGAAGGAGCCAAATCAGTGACATAAGTCATGCATTGTATATAACAGCTTGGTGTCATGCAATATTCCTTTATACTGCGTGTTCATTATCCCATTAAACTGGATATATGGAGTGGCCCAGGTGGAACGTAGTCATGCATGAACATTTTTCACTGTCTGTTTTGTAGAGTGAGTCCAAAAGGAGAGCAACCATTGATATTCATGGCACAGCCAGTATGAGGTGTGGCAGTATTTTTTTGTGTGTGCGAATCTGTGAGTGTATATGGTAATACCAGAGCAGCCTCAAACCTCAACTGCAGTCGGGGTGGTGGTGGGTGGGTGGGGGGGGGATTCACTGTTCTCCCCACACAGGCTCTGCAAGATAAAGAACCACTCACTCAGAAGCCATAATTTTCTCTTAAAACACAATTTCTTGCCAGTTCATTTGCTTCTGTGCTGCAGGGAAAATGCCGAAGTGATTGTTGGTCTAGCCTGAACAATGTTTTTGCTAAATTAAGTTTTGCCCATTTTTATTTTGAAAAGGTGAATTACATGTCTATTTTCCATTTATGGGTGGTGTTTCATTTGTGCTGCTGTTGATGTAGTGTGGAATGATAAGCAGGCATCTTGCTGCATGTTTAAGTTCACTAGTGACGCAAGGTAGGAAATAAATGAGAGAAAAACAAGAAAGAGGTCAGGGAGACCACTGTGAGTCATCTTCTTTCTGGCAGCTAATGAATCCACAATGCTGTGTGCAGGCCTCCCCTGAGTACAGTCACATGGATTTCACTTCCATTGCTATTGCATGTAAATGCAGCATTTTGCTTTTTGTTAGGCATTCACAGTGAATCACTATGTATGTTATGTGTGGAAAGTGAGTTTACCTTTACCTGTTCTCCCAGACTAGATGAAAAGTTTTGCCAGATACAGACTTGAGGCCATTGAGGTCATCTTACAATCTTTAACTATGTCTGATTTGCCAGTCTGTCCTAAAACTGTGATTCAACTATGCAACTCCATCCATCCATTCATCCATCCATCTTCTTCTTCCGCTTTATCCGGGGCCAGGTCGCGGGGGCAGCAGCCTAAGCAGAGAAGCCCAGACCGCCCGCTCCCCTGCAACCTCC